TCAGAGAGATGTCTCCTGCCCTTGGCGGCTCTGGCAGACCACTGAAGGTGGCTCTTCTCGTTTCCAGCATAGGCTGCACGCAATGCTGGGGTCCCTATGGCTGTCCCCAGCAAATGTGCCTTCCTCTAGCACCTCCCCAGCAGATCCCAGGTTCTCTCTCCTCCTCATTGTGCAAAGCATTTCTCTCATCCTCAGAATAGGGGTCTCTCCCAGAGTCTTGCACAGTTACAGGTTGTAAACTTGCCAATTGTTTGGGAGTAAACCATCTTTTTCATGCCAAAAGGTACTAAGAGAGAGGCAATGTCAGGACATTTTCCAGTATGCTATGGAAATTTAGTCTTCTAGACATAGTTGTTAATGATTCTACCATAAACTCCATAAAAAGGAATTTAGTGGCTGCATATGATATTTCAGAGGCTGCCATTTCTCATTATTTTGGCTTCAAAATATATAAAACAGTATAACTAAGATACTCTATAATTTATACTCCAAAGTATAGGTAAAGGTTTCCTTTTATTCTCCGCCAAGTCCCATTTCTCTCCAACTCCACAGGATGTTTTTTAAAGAATTTAGGGAATTTTTTTAAAAATTACATTTAGTAAAAGAATAAATTACTATCTGTACATGTTATTTTAAATATATGTAGTAAAAACATAGCAGTATATATAGAGTATCAATAACAGTATCTATAGAGCTTACCCATTCACATTAAGAATTATACTATTCCATTATATGATGATGACACCAATTATCTATTCCCCTCCTAAAATATTTGTATTAGTTTTCAATGTTTTAAATTTAAAAATTAATTCTCTATTGAACAACCTCATAGTTACCTCTGGTATATATATGGAAATGTACCAGAAGTGTGTAGCAATTTTCACATTATCAAATAGTACATGAACACTTTCATTCTGAACATTTCACCAATCTGAAATAGGCAGGCAAAATAACTATAGTTATCAGTGAATTTGTTTTGCTATTGGCCATTTGAGCTTCCTCTTCTAATATGGGTGTCTTTTTTCCCATTTTCCTATTGAGTTGTTTTGTGACTCTCATCTTCGTTTAAAGTCATTGTATTTTTCATGTTGCAAAGGTTTTTTGTTTTTGTTTTTGTTTTTTTGCCTGTTGGTGACTTATTTTTAAGGTTTTGTTGTGAGAAATATTTAATTTTAGTAATGTCCAGTTTTTCTTTATGGATATTAATTTTGTACCTTGTACAAGGAATGCTTCTTTAGATGTCATATAGAGAGTCACTAAGATCTAAAAGTTTTAGCATTAATTTTGCACATTCTGGGTTATCGTATCAAGAAAGTTTATAAAGGTGTATTAAGAATTGTATGCAAAAAATAAGAGAGCACATGTATAATGGCAAAAAAAGAATATTTATATATAAGCAGACATCATATAAATATGCTTTTGAGCTCACTTTTCTAGTTAATATATTAATTTGCTGATGGTCACAATAGCATGTTCCAAACTCATCCTGTACTTTCCTGCGCTGGACCTGAAATTAGCCTTCTCCAAGGAGCCCTAATTCATTTTGGCTAAAACTGTCACTTAGAAACCAGAATTTGAGTACAATGGATGATCATTGCCATGGGATAATCATTGCGTATCTACCACTTTAGTTGAAAGAGCAGGGTTGTGTGTTGTGTGTATGTGCATCCGTATGTGTTCATGAGAACACTGATGTTAATTTATATTCTTATCCACATAAATATTTGTACCTCCCTTTCACTACATACCTCATTTTCTTATAACAGCAATCTATTTACCTATTTGCTTTGTTATAATTATATGGTTTAAATGTATCATCTATTAGCACCAGCAATAAATAAACACAATAAAATTTAATGTTTTTGGAATATTTTTGTCCTTGGAATATCTTTTTTTGGAATATATCTCACTAATGATATATAGTCAAATTATCAAGCAAAGAGCAAAGTTTAGTTCTTATGATCATTATCAAGTTGATATATTGTTGGATTCATTTTATTTGTTTGTATTCAATTTTATGCTTTTATTTCTGGTTCTTTTTCAATTTCGAATATAGAAAATAAAATTAAAAATTTTATACAAAACCTGAAACTACATTTAGAGGAACTGCCTCCTTCTCCATCCTCTCTACCTTGTTCCCACCCATCCCTTAAAGGTAACAATTTCAGTGAAGAGGTCAGAGCACAGTGGTAGAAGTTGAAGAGATGTGAAGGAGCCATGAATTTGCATCAACAACCTTCAACTGATTTCTTTATACAGAGAGAGACTGAAGAAAAGGTTATCCACCGAAGTCTTATCCTTGGGCACAGAGAAACCAGCATATACTCTGGTGGGTATACAGGATTATAGTTGCCAATATTAGAAACACAAGAAAAAGGGGAAGAAGACAGATTAAGTCTGACCCTTCTTCAGATAAATTTCAAACCACTGAAGAGTAGCAGAGAAAAGGTTGAATCATCTCTGCTGGAAGATAATGTCATTTGGACTCTCTACTGTTTTTAATGTATGATGTCCAGTATTCAATCTAAAATCAGTAGGGATGTGAAAAATCATGCCCTCTGACCCATAATCAAAAAACTAATGGAAAATAAAAATCAGACTCACATGTTATTACAGTTAACACACACAGACCTTAAAATAGCCATGACCGATATGTTCAGTAGAATATAATCAATATTAAGCCAAAGAAAAGATAAAGAGTTTTAAGAGAAATTAGAATTTATATTTCTAAAAAAAAACTAGTTTAAGCTTTAAAATCCTAAACTGAAAATATGCTTTAAACAGATGTTTATTCTATCTTGCTTTTAATAAATACAGTGAAGGATTAAACATCTCCTTGGCACTCCATAAATGAGTTAAACAGAAGATTTTTTTAAAAATGGGGCACACTACCAGAAAAATTAGACTCTGAAGAATTAACTCTACCATGTCATTCAACAAATAATCAAATTATCAAGCAAACAGCAACAACCCTTCCCCCAGGAAATATAATACCCAGAGTTTTTATAACATATCATCTTAAATATACCCAAAATAGAAATGATATCAATTTCAATAAAAGGTGATGAAATAATTGAATATCCATCTGCAAAAAGTGGAGTTTGAACTATATTTGGCTCCGTGAAAAATAAAAATGAAAGAAAAAAACACCTCAAAGTGGATCATAGACCCAAATGTAAAACCAATTCTAGAGAAATATATGGAAAAAAATTTTTGATTATGAGTTAGGCAATAGTATCTTAGGTAAGGCAAAAAGAAGGTATGAAATCATAAAACAAAATTGATAACTATTTTTCATCAAAATTAATAATTACTTTCCATCAAAATGAAAAATAAATTTCCAATCTTCAAAATACAGTCTTAAGTAATTAAAAAGACCAGCCAAATATTTGTAGAAAACATATGCAAAACACATAATAAAAAACAGAAATCCAGATTATATAAAGAATCTTCCCAACTAAATAATAAACCTCCCCCCAAAATTTGGCAAAAGATTTGAGCATAAAACTCAAACAATATATGATTATATGAATTATAAGTATATACATGAACAGGTGTATTATTATAGTATCTTATTAGTAATTAGGGAAATGCAAATTAAAACTACAATATGAGACAGCTACACTCACAATTCATGAAAACACTGAAAATACCAAGTCCTGGAGAACAAGAATAAAAGCTACAGTCATTGTGGAAAAGTTCAATATTCACTTTTTGCAGTCATCAGAGCTCTCTGGACAAATGGAACCAATAGAAAATATTTATGTATATGTGGAGAGGAGAGAGAATATTAAATAATTCACTTTTTTTAAAAAAAGAATTAGCTCACAGAATTATAGAAGTACCCAACTCCCAGGATCGACAGGGTCCATCAGCAGACTTGAGACTCAGGAGAGCCAACAGCCCCAGTCTACAGTTGAGGGCCTGAGAATCAGGAAGCCGACAATGTTGTTCCAGTCTGAGAACTGTCAGGCTGGACACCTAGGAAGGGACCACGTTTCAATCTGAGCCCGAAAGTGGAGAGGGAAAAATAAAAGGCAATGTCCCTGCCCAAAGGTTGTACAGCAGGAGGATTCTCTCTTACTCGGGAGAGGGTCCTACTTTTTGTCCTATTCATACCTTCAATTGATCAGATGAGATATACTCCTATCAGCAAAGTCAGTTCACTCCATCTACTGACTTGGATGTCAGTCTCACCCAAAACACCCTCACTGAAACACCCAGCATGCTATTTGACCTATTATTGGGGACCCTGTGGCCCCACCACAATGACGCATAAAATTAGCCATCACTCCTACCTAGGTATCTTTCCTAGAAAGATTAAAAATCTCCACAGCAAAAACTTTGTTAGTCCTTATAATGTTTTGTTCATAATCACAAAAACCGGAAGTAGCCAGGGACAGTGGTGCAGGCCTATAATCCCAGCAGCTCAGGAGGCTGAGGCAGAAAGACCATGAATTCAAAGCCTACCTCAGCAAAAATAAGGTGCTAAGCAATTCAGTGAAACCCCTGTCTCTAAATACAAAATAGCGCTGTGGATGTGGTTCAGTGGTTGAGTGCCCTGAGTTCAATCCCTGGTACCCAAAAGAAAACTGGAAGCAACTCAAAATTCCATCAGCTAATGAAGAGATAATTGATATTATAACTATACAATGAATTACTATTCCATAATGTATAAAAAATAGAAACAAGCTATGAGATGGACAAATCTAAAAGCATTGTGGTGAGTGGAAAATTCCAGATCTATAAATCTACCATTATGACCTATTTATATGATTTTCTGGAAGACGTAAAACTGTAGGAACCAAAAAGAGATCCACAGAGTTGGAGATTTAGGAAGGGAAGTGACCACATAGAGTCACAGGATAACTTTTGGGATAATGGAAAAATTCTACATCTTAATTATAGGTGGTCACATGCCTGTGTGTTTGTCAGATTTCATAAACTTTAACATGAAATCAGGGTGAATTTTCCTTCATTTAAATCGGACCTAAGTGGGAGAGCGGCTGGGCAGAGGGAACGCTATGTCCGCGGAAGTCCCGGAGGCAGCCTCGGCGGAGGAGCAGAAAGAAATGGAAGATAAAGTGACTAGTCCAGAGAAAGCTGAAGAAGCAAAATTAAAAGCAAGGTATCCTCACCTGGGACAAAAGCCTGGAGGTTCAGATTTTTTAAGGAAACGATTGCAGAAAGGGCAAAAATATTTTGATTCTGGGGATTACAACATGGCAAAAGCAAAGATGAAGAACAAGCAACTTCCTACTGCAGCCCCGGATAAGACAGAGGTCACTGGTGACCATATTCCCACTCCACAGGACCTTCCTCAACGGAAACCATCCCTTGTTGCTAGCAAGCTGGCTGGCTGATTAAAAGAGCTGACCTGCATGAATTTTCTAATTCCCATTATTTCTCCTCATATGTTACTTATCCACTTTTTATTCCTTTCATTCACTAAGTCATTTAAATGAGACTGACGGCTTTGCAGGTAGCGATAGTGTGTGCTGCTATTGTAAGGGAATATACATGTGTAGAGGTTTTGATTAGTTTTAACAGTGCACTGATGAAAAGGACGTGTTAGAGCAACATAAGTAATCTACTTGAAAATATTTGTATATATTACCTAACTCCTAATATAGGTTCCAAAAAGTAATAAGCAAATTTTACAATTTTAATGTTTTGCCTTCTTCGCTTATCTTAATTATAGCTGTGTATGTTACTCTTATTTAATGTAACCTCTGTATTGATTTCTTCTGTATTTTCCTTCTGGATTTTGTCAAACAGAAGTTTAAGCCACAAGTTTGAAGAAGGATCACAAATTCAAATGAAAATAGGAGGGGCTTTGAAAGATTTGTATAACTGTGCTTGAACTTGAATGGCCTTAAACCTGTTTCAGCTTTAACAATAGAATTTTACTTGGGCAATATTTGCCCATTCTGGTGTAACTTACGTGACTTCAGTGCTTAACAGCTGCCATTGAAGCTAGTATTCTTATTTAGTTTTGTAGTGTTAAATACCTTTCATTGTTGAAGATGTGAATGAAGTATGCATGTGCATCAACTGTTGAATTCACTTTTGTGCCATTTTTGTAAATACAGTAGTTTTGCACAACCTTTCATAAATGTCTGTATTAATTTCACATATTAGAAAGTAGATAATGTGCCATCGAGAAGCACAAGAGTTCCTCCTACACAAAAAAAATATGTCCTTATAGCTTTTATATAATAAGAGTAGTTTACAATCTTGGGCTTATAGAATACCAAACTGAATTCTTCATCTTCACTCAGTCTGCCGTAGAATTAAGCTTTTACAATTGTTACTAATATCCATGACATTCAGTGGCCTTGTGCAAATATGATATGTTGCTTAGGCATATCTTTTGTCCTATGCAGATCTCATTTTGTCTTTTACGAAAATTGCAGTTCATATAATTTATACACACTTTTTTTTAAGTATACAGACTTTTTACTTCCACACTTAACTTTGGAGACACTAGAGTAAAAGGCTTTCCATATTCTGCCTTCTGTTTTCTTCTCCTCCCTGCCCCACCACCCAACTTTTCTTTTCTGTCTTTGCTTCTTTTGACTATTTGGGCTATTTAGTTTATATGATAGCATAGGCATCTGTAGCCTTACTCTTTTTAATTTGCTGTGCTGAATGCTGTATTTTATAACACAATAATGGTGTTTTCCCTCTTTCATTTCTCAGTTGTTAATTTACCACTTAACCCTATTATTATTATTGGCATTTAACAATTGTTTAAATAAAAATTTTATAATGAAACAAATAGTTGAGAGAACTGGCCCAGAAATCTGTCAGACTGAATTAAATTCAAGTAATTATGATGAACTAAGAATTAGGCTTGTGACGAGTAACATACATGATAGCTAAGATTTATTCATATGAAAAACATTTAGATAGTTGCTTCTGAGATGTCACTTCAATAAAATATGAATTTAATTTTACTTGTGGTTCATCCAGTTAGAACTTTAACACTTTATTAGGACAGGTTTACTGTTGTCTTAGAGCTCTTCCCACAAGCTGTAATATGGTAGCAGGATAATGAGGATTGCTAGACAGAACTGATACTATTTTTCTCTTCATCTTTGACTTGCACAAATCCTCTTTTGGATCCAGGCATCTTTTCTAGGTCTTGGCTTCATTTGTAACTGCTTTTCTGTGATGCCAAATCATAGTAGATGGTGCCTTGATGTACTTAAATTGTGCTGTAAAATTGGTGTTTGGTGATCAGCAGCAGGTAGTATATGGGAAGAGCATTTCTGAGTGGTCACCAAAGCAGTTTCTCCGGTGGCCTTTTCACATTCCCCAGCATACAAGCATATTTCTCCCACTTTTAATTTCCTCCCTGAAGCCCATTTTTTAGAGCTAATGAATTATTAATCCTTAATATCCATCCCAATATGCCAAAATTTAGGACCTGTCACATTTTCTAAAACATCCTAATCTAGATAATGACTAATATGAGCCACTGTCCCAACTCAGCATGCACTGCCAGTCTTCTGTCTTTTTTCCCCAAATCCCCACCACACCTTATAAAATTAGGATCAAAGGAACTCTATGATTGTTGAATTTAAGGATAAAAACACCAATTTGAATACTTTTTTACTAATTTCAGCCTTCTGGGTAGGTAGGTCTATGGATTTTATTCTACAAATCACTGGTGGTCATGATAGCCATTAATGTATTGCTTGTATTCTGTTATTTATCAATTAAATGGCATTTGAAAGAAAACATCTTATTCTTTTAATATTACACCCTCAAATCTGCTACTGAATCTCTAGCATTTGTTATGCAATAGGACATTTTGCCTGTAAAACAAACCATGTTTAGTAACATAAATAAACAAATATGGCTGGAAGAACAACCCATATCTCAATAATAACCCTAAATGTTAATGGCTTAAACTCACCAATCAAGAGACACAGGCTAGTAGAATGGATCACAAAACAAGACCCAACAATATGCTGCCTACAGGAGACGCATTTGATAGGAAAAGACATACATAGGCTGAAGGTGAAAGGTTGGGAAAAATCATATCACTCATATGGACTTCGGAAACAAGCAGGAGTATCCATACTCATATCAAATAAAATAGATTTCAAGCCAAAGTTAATCAAAAGGGATAAAGAGGGACACTACATACTGCTCAAGGGAACCATACACCAACAAGACATAACAATCATAAATATATATGCCCCAAACAATGGTGCAGCTATGTTCGTCAAACAAACTCTTCTCAAGTTCAAGAGTCTAATAGACCACCATACAATAATCATGGGAGACTTCAACACACCTCTCTCGCCACTGGACAGATCTTCCAAACAAAAGTTGAATAAGGAAACTATAGAACTCAATAACACAATTAATAACCTAGACTTAATTGACATATATAGAATATACCACCCAACATCAAGCAGTTACACTTTTTTCTCAGCAGCACATGGATCCTTCTCAAAAATAGATCATATATTATGTCACAGGGAAACTCTTAGACAATATAAAGGAGTAGAGATAATACCATGCATCCTATCTGATCATAATGGAATGGAACTGAAAATCAACGATAAAAGAAGGAAGGAAAAAGAATACATCACTTGGAGAATGAACAATAGGTTACTGAATGATCAATGGGTTATAGAAGACATCAAGGAGGAAATTAAAAAATTCTTAGAGATAAATGAAAACACAGACACAACATATCGGAATCTATGGGACACATTGAAAGCAGTTCTAAGAGGAAAATTCATTGCTTGGAGTTCATTCCTTAAAAAAAGAAAAAACCAACAAATAAATGATCTCATACTTCATCTCAAAATCCTAGAAAAAGAAGAGCAAAACAACAGCAAAAGAAGTAGAAGGCAAGAAATAATTAAAATCAGAGCTGAAATTAATGAAATCAAAACAAATGAAACAATTGAAAAAATTGACAAAACTAAAAGTTGGTTCTTTGAAAAAATAAACAAAATCGACAGACCCTTAGCCATGCTAGCGAAGAGAAGAAGAGAGAGAACTCAAATTACTAGCATTCGGGATGAAAAAGGCAATATCACAACAGACATGTCAGATATACAGAAGATAATCAAAAATTATTTTGAATCCTTATACTCCAATAAATTAGAAGATAGTGAAGGCATCGATAAATTTCTTAAGTCATATGATCTGCCCAGATTGAGTCAGGAGGATATAGACAACCTAAACAGACCAATATCAATTGAGGAAATAGAAGAAACCATCAAAAGACTACCAACTAAGAAAAGCCCAGGACCGGATGGGTATACAGCAGAGTTTTACAAAACCTTTAAAGAGGAACTAATACCAATACTTTTCAAGCTACTTCAGGAAATAGAAAAAGAGGGAGAACTTCCAAATTCATTCTACGAGGCCAACATCACCCTGATACCTAAACCAGACAAAGACACTTCAAAGAAAGAAAACTATAGACCAATATCTCTAATGAACCTAGATGCAAAAATCCTCAATAAAATTCTGGCCAATCGGATACAAAAACTTATCAAAAAAATTGTGCACCATCATCAAGTAGGATTCATCCCTGGGATGCAAGGCTGGTTCAATATACGGAAATCAATAAATGTTATTTTTTTTTTTTTTAATTTTTTATTGTGGGTTGTTCAAAACATTACAAATTTCTTGACATATCATATTCCACACTTTGATTCTAGTGGGTTATGAACTCCCACCTTCACCCCATACACAGATTGCAGATTCACATCAGTTACACATCCATTGATTTACAAATTGCCATACTAGTGTCTGTTGTGCTCCGCTGCCTTTCCCATCATCCCCCCTCCCCCCTCCCCACCTCTCCCCTCCCCTCCCCTCCTCTCTCTCTACCCCCTCCACTGTATAACCCTGAGGGTCTCCTTCCATTACCGTGCAATTTACCTTCTCTCTCCCTTTCCCTCCCACCTCTCATCCCTGTTAAATGTTAATCTTCTTCTCCTGTTCTTCGTCCCTACTCTGTTCTTAGTTACTTTCCTTATATCAAAGAAGACATTTGGCATTTGTTTTTTAGGGATTGGCTAGCTTCACTTAGCATAATCTGCTCTAATGCCATCCATTTCCCTGTAAATTCTATGATTTTGTCATTTTTTAATGCAGAGTAATACTCCATTGTGTATAAATGCCACATTTTTTTTATCCATTCGTCTATTGAAGGGCATCTAGGTTGGTTCCACAGTCTTGCTATTGTGAACTGTGCTGCTATGAACATCGATGTAGCAGTGTCCTTGTAGCATGCTCTTTTTAGGTCTTTAGGGAATAGACCAAGAAGGGGAATAGCTGGGTCAAATGGTGGCTCCATTCCCAGCTTTCCAAGAAATCTCCATACTGCTTTCCAAATTGGCTGCACCAATCTGCAGTCCCACCAGCAATGTACAAGTGTACCCTTTTCCCCACATCCTCGCCAGCACTTGTTGTTGTTTGACTTCCTAATGGCTGCCAATCTTACTGGAGTGAGATGGTATCTTAGGGTGGTTTTGATTTGCATTTCTCTGACAGCTAGAGATGTTGAGCATTTTTTCATGTACTTGTTGATTGACTGTATGTCCTCCTCTGAGAAGTGTCTGTTCAGGTCCTTGGCCCATTTGTTGATTGGGTTGTTTGTTCTCTTATTGTCTAATTTTTTGAGTTCTTTGTATACTCTGGATATTAGGGCTCTATCTGAAGTGTGAGGAGTAAAGATTTGTTCCCAGGATGTAGGCTCCCTATTTACCTCTCTTATTGTTTCTTTTGCTGAGAAAAAACTTCTTAGTTTGAGTAAGTCCCATTTGTTGATTGTAGTTATTAACTTTTGTGCTATGGGTGTCCTATTGAGGAATTTGGAGCCCGACCCCACCGACTGTAGATCGTAGCCAACTTTTTCTTCTATCAGACGGCGCGTCTCTGATTTGATATCAAGTTCCTTGATCCATTTTGAATTCACTTTTGTGCATGGCGAGAGAAAGGGATTCAGTTTCATTTTGTTGCATATGGATTTCCAGTTTTCCCAGCACCATTTGTTGAAGATGCTATCCTTCCTCCATTGCATGCTTTTAGCCCCTTTATCAAATATAAGATAGTTGTAGTTTTGT